GTGTATTTTTAAATTTATTTATTTTATTTTTATTTATTTTTGGCTGTATGGGGTTTTCATTGCCGTGCGCAGGCTTCTTATTGCGGTGGCTTCTCTTGTTGAGGAGCACGGGCTCTAGGCGTGTGGGCTTCAGTAGTTGTGGCACACAGGCTCAGGAGTTGTGGCTCATGGGCTCTAGAGCGCAGGCTCAGTAGTTGTGGCACACGAGCTTAGTTGCTCCACAGCATGTGGCATCTCCCCGGGCCAGGGCTCGAACCCGTGACCCCTGCATTGGCAGGCGGATTCTTAACCACTGCACCACCAGGGAAGCCCCGCTCTGTTTTACAGTTTAAATCCCAAGATTTATTAGCACAATGTTCTGACACCTTGTAGAAGTTGAATAAATAATTTCTGAATGAATAAAAGAATAGTTTCAGGTCATTTCACATCAAGCTAATAAGTCTTTTAAAATTTTAATATGATCATTATATATTCATTTTCACACTATTTTACCTGTACATTTTATTTGTATGCCTTCTTTTTATTGATTTGCTTATTCATTCACTCATGAAAAAAATCAGAATTTATTAAATGTCAAACACATCGGTTCTAAAGATAAATAAGCCATGTTCTTTACTTTTAAACATCTCACTACTTATCAAGGAAAATTAATATGTGAGAAAAACAAAATTATCTTATACAAAGTCTTAAATCTAATTAAAATGTTGAAATGAAGGGCAATGAAAGATGAGCCCTCTAAAACAAATAATAGTCTAGTACATCTATCAAAAAAGGAAACTGAGCTAATTAGGCATCACTTTTTCTTAGTGATTCCATGTTGACTCTTAGTGATCATATCATCCTTTTTCTAAATGTTTGAAATACATCTTTTAAATGCAATATATTGTAATAAGTTGTAATATATTATTACCAGGGCTTCATGTCAAATTTGGCTTCTTTTACAATAAGGGTAATTAAGGAAAACCCATTCAACAGTATAATTACTTTGACTTGTTTTTAATCCCAATATTTAATTTAATTTTGATTTAAATACTATTAAAGAAGAGAGAGCATTATATGTTTATTGAAAGGGGACATACATGGAAAAAAGACTGAGAATGTGCTGCGGCAGGCAGATTTCAGCTAAGTGTAAGGAAGAACTTCTTAGTAGTTACCGCTGCCTATCAGAGCACTGCTTTGCAAAGCAGGAAGCTCTCCATCACTAAATATCTTTAAGGAACGCTAACAGGGCATTTTTCCCAGGATGGAGCAGAAAGATTTAGTAGACAGCATTGATTAGACCAGTGTCCTCAAACTATGGTGAAGCACTTTTTAAAAAATCTTCTTGGATGTCACAGCAATGTCAAATGGCTATAAAGATTTCTGAATGCTTTTTTGCGGTACGTGGGCCTCTCACTGCTGTGGCCTCTCCCGTTGCCGAGCACAGGCTTCGGACGCGCAGGCTCAGCGGCTCACGGGCCCAGCTGCTCCGCAGCATGTGGGATCTTCCCGGACCGGGGCACGAACCCATGTCCCCTGCACTGGCAGGTGGACTCTCAACCACTGTGCCACCAGGGAAGCCGTGAATGCTTACTTTTGATTTCAGTTTTTGATTTGTTGCACACAGGTAACAAACTGGCCTGGTATGAACAGGCAAACTACACTTTGAGAAGCACTGGATTAGACGGTCTATGAGAGATCTCTGAGGTTCTATAGTTTTTCAAACTTACCTAGTCTGTCTTCCTATTTTCGTTAGGCATTAATATCAAACTACTAACTTCATAACTAATTGTTTTCTCCAGTACTTTAAAAAAGTACAAGCTAAAAGATATTCTAAAAGCATTAGATCAAAGAGCTGAGACATTTTTACTCCATTAACCTTTTATCTCACTAAAAGAAAAGGCAAAATTTACTTTTTTTTTTTCCAAAATTTACTTTTACCAAAGCACATATGAATGCTCATTTAAAACTGGTTACAAAAAATTTATTTCCAGTTATCTCCCACACCTAATATTCTGGTGTCACTTTCTTTGCACAAGCTAATAATGAAATATGTAACAAGTTATCTTGATCACACATTTGAAGATCTTGCTTTGTTTTACCAGCTGGTAGCAAAACCAAGAGAAAAGCCACGTGGGGGTGGGGTGATGAGAGAAAGAATAGGCATGAAGTTCAGAAGCACTGGGTGGAGGAGTCAAGTGTTTGCAACCACCTACAAATAACACTCAGTGGTGACCTGGCCAAGCAAATACGGTAAAGAATTGTAAAAAGAGCAGGCAAAATTGAGAGTTGCCCGTTCTCATACTTCCCCAAATATTCCTGGCTTTTTCTCTGCAAGGACAGACATTTTCATTTAAAATCTATTATCTTCTTATAGAGACAGACTGTACCAAGTGAGGAATACCCTTATCTAAATATAACTACTGTAGAGTTAGAAATCAGAAAATATAAACCATTGTGAAAATAAATTAAAAAATCCATTATCTTCTTCCCATTAAAAATGAAGCAAAACAAAACAACCTTCCTTCTCAAGAGATAATTTCCAGATTTATGAGCTATCATCTCCCAACTCCATCAAACATGAATTTTTTTTCCCTCAAGTAGTTGCAATATTCCTTAAATCATCATACTTGTACTAGAGCAGGAGTTCTTAACTATTGAGTATATGGATGGGTTTTAAGAAGCCTATGAACTCTCTGAAACTCCAAATATTATAAAACTTCGGGTGAATGAGCAATTATATGGACAAGATGTCTACAGTTGTCACATTTGTTGTTGACAACTGTTGATTAAAAGCATCTTTCTTAGGTTAAAAATGTGATCTGGGTTCTTAATTAATTGAATAGGTATATAAAAGTATTACATTATATCATATATCCAAAAAAAGCTTTAGAAATAAATCCTTTCATTTTGTAGATGATAACACTGACATTTGGAGAGGTCAGGGGAGTGTTCAAGGCCATGCTGCTAGCTAGAAGGCAGAAGATGAAGAAGAGGAATGCTGGCTCCTACTTCCGGATCCATCCCCTCCCACTCTGCCACCAATGCCAGGCCAGACTAGAGGATACTAGTAAGCACACTAAGGGCAGCCAACAACCCCAATTCTGATAAATATACAATCTCAGAATAAATCAAGTAATTCTTTAAACACTACTGGCTCATAACATATATAAACATTTTCTATATTTTACTAAAGGTATCTAAAAATATATATTCTTTTAGACACATTTTAGAGCTTACTTCCTTGCCAGTAGACACAATCAACAACTTGTCAATCATCTGAAATACATGAGTGCTTGATCCCACTGCAATCAACAAGAGAAGGGCATACACTTGATAAACTCCTCCCTCCCTCCCTCCCTCCCTCCCTCCCTTCCTTCCTTCCTCCCTTCCTACCTTTCTTTAATATTTTCTTCCCTCCCTCCCTCCCTTCCTTTCTTTAATATCTTTATTGGAATATAATTGCTCTACAACGTCCCCATATCTCCTCCCTCATGTCCCTCCCACCCTCCCCATCACACCCCTCTAAGGGGATCACAAAGCACGGAGTTGATCTCCCTGTGCTATGCGGCTGCTTCCCACTAGCTATCTATTTTACGTTTGGTAGTGTATATATGTCCATGCCACTCTCTCACTTTGTCCCAGCTTACCCTTCCCCTTCCCCACGTCCTCAAGTCTATTCTCTACGTCTACATCTTCATTCCTGTCCTGCCCCTAGGTTCATCAGAACCATTCAAACACATTTCTTTCTGAGTCAATTACTCTGAAAGCCCACAATGCAAAGTAAATTAGTTGAATGGATCTTTTAGTAACTGTTGAAGCTGTTTAGAAATTTTAAGCAAAACCTCTTTTCAAAGTTTATTCTCTTGTTTATTCACACTAAAGAATAGCAAGTGCAAAAACCAAAGGAGATGATATTTAGTGAAAAGAATTTTTATAGTAATTAAGTGAGAAAGCTGAAAAAGAATGCCTGATTTTGGAGTCAGGATGGGTAGAAATCCAAAATTTGTTTTTAATTTTTTTCAAAATAATTAGAAAACTGAAAGTCTGTAAGAATCCAAGAAACCCTTCACTCTCTGCCCCCTACTCCCCCACTTCTGACTTCTGAAATACAGTGTAACCTTCTGCCATCTGTTATTTTAGAGCAGAAACAGTAAAAAACATATGGGCTTTCTCTCTCAAGCAGCTGTAGGGTAGTTAAAGTTATAATAATTGTCTTTCTGTAAGATAAATCTACATTTAAAACCTGGCCAGTTAAAAAAAAATAGCTCAGCCTCAGAGCCTTCCAGAATAAAATTAAGAAATTCAGAATCATCTGTGACATACTACATTAAGAGATTTAGAGAATATCCTCCAAGTCTTGTACTTTTAAGGTTAAACAAATGTAATTCATGATGCCCAAATCAGTTAATACAGTCAAAGAGTCCACAAGTCATGTTTTTTCTTTCTCCATCAAAATGCTAGAAGCCTCGGGACTTCCCTGATGGTCCAGTGGTAAAGAATCTGCCTTCCAATGCAGGGGACGTGGGTTCAATCCCTGGTTGGGGAACTAAGATCCCACATGCTGCGGGGCAACTAAGCCCACACACAGCACAGCTACTGAGGTCATGCGCCTCGACAGAGAGCCCGTGCGCCACAACTACAGAGCCCACGTGCTCTGCAGCCCAAGCGCCACAACTAGAAAGAAGCCCGCGTGCCCCAAAGAAGATCCTGTGTGCCACAACAAAAGACCCTGCATGCCACAACTAAGACCTGACGCAGCCAAAAAAATAAAGAAAATAAGCAAGTAAAATAAATAAATATTTTTTAAAAAGATTAAAAAATGCTAGGAGCCTCAAACAGGGGTTAGATACTCATATATAGAAATCGCTAACAAAGTTTTCCAAAACTGATAACTATAAATGCATCACTTCGGTGGGTCACTGAACTCCAATCTAAAGGCTTATTTATTTATAAGAAAAATCAAAACACGTGTGACACATAAATTTCCATTTCAGCTATGTAACAGGAATTTTACCTACCTTTATCTGGGTGATTCAAAATCATGATTCTCCTGTGAGCTGCTCTAATCTTGGCCTTGCCGGCAGATGGGCTGTAAAAAGAAATTAAAGTGCTTGTAACAAATAGTGTCAAATGCAGATTATAAATTAATGGTTTATATGAGTTTTAAGAAATTAAAAACTAATGAGAATTTCACCATCTTGTGGATAAATATGAAATTACAGCTTGTCACTTCATTCTACCAACCATCAAAATAAATCATATTCAATGCTGCATGTACTTTCCTTCAGTCCTTATTCTCAATTGAAAAAACATATACACAACATATAGGATAGGAGAATCATAGCCTGTAGACTATTACTGTGAGTTTGAAAATTTGCAAGCTCTTTGAGGGGAAGGCAGTACATGTAATGTAACAAACAGGTATTTGAACTCTAGGGCTACCAGACTTCAGGATTTTAATCCCAGCACTGCCATGAAAGATGGGGTATCCTTGGTCAAATTTTTTACCCTCTCTGAGCTTCAGTTTCTTCATTGTGAAACAGGGCTAGGAACAACATAGTCCTCATAGAGCAATTACAAGGATTAAATTAGTTGATGCCAACAAAGTGCTACAGCAGTGCCTGGTGTGTAGCAAATGTTCCATAATAGTTAGCTTTTACTATTATTATCTTTCAACAGAATATCTCAAAACCCTTAATAGCTCATAATTTATTTAGCTTTGTGAGAAAACTACGGGAAAAGCTTGGCTGTTAGAGCCTATGCTCTAAACAAAAATTAAAGGAGAAAGTTAAATAAACCTAAAATTATTCCTGCAAAACCTAATTTATCCAGTACTGGAACTCCTTCTCTCTAGTACATTTTCCAGGTAAGGAAAAAAATTAACACTAATAATAACAAGATCCTGGTGCTCCTACTTAATATTTATACTAGCTTATCTAAGCTGTTTTTCTGAGCCTCAAATGGAAATAACAGTAGCTGACTCAAAGCACACAGTGGTTGCTGTGAAACTCAAAATAATCTATATGGATGAACCACACTGTAGGGGCTAAACGCAGGAACTTTTAGAGATATTCAGACACTGGTTTAAATCCATCACTCAAAATCTATAAAACTTTGTCTTGGGACTTCCCTGGTGGTCCAGTGGTTAAGACTCTCTACTTCCTCTTCAGGGGACGCGGGTTCGATCCCTGGTTGGGGAACCAAGATCCCACATGCCGTGTGGTGCAGCAAAAACAAACAAACAAAAAACACTTTGTCTTGCTTACTTGAACTCTCTGACTTATAATTTTCTCACAAGCAAAATTTTCTCATAAGCATACCTCCTAGGATTATTTTAAGGACAAGTTAGATTATATAAGCAAAAAGGATGAGCATGACCTGGCATAAAGTTAGTGTTCAAAGAATAGTAGTTATTATCATGAACGTAAAGAATGCTTATGAAAGTGTATTACATTTCCTACTTTTTAAAAAATGGGGTATAAATAATCTAATCTAGTATATCTTGAATGACTCAAAAAGCATTATCATGACTATCAATTAAGTGCAAAGAAACTCTCAAGGTCTGCAGAGGTTTGTTTGCCCTTCTAAATGGTCATAAAATGCTACCCATTTAAGTTCTTCTGTCTGTTTTGAACACTGCCTTCCTTGCTGTCAGTTGTCAATCCTCAATTCTGCCAGTGTTCTAGTCTCTAGCTATTACTTGCCAGTTACTTGCTACTTTTAATCTCCTGGGGTTAAATAACAGTTCATCAAACATGTTAAAATACACTATCAATTGCTACATAAGCATATAAACATTCTTCTATAAATAAAATAAATAAGTCAAGTCAAAAAGCAAGTCAAAAGAGAAATCAAAAAATATCTTGAGACAAATGAACAACCTACCAAAACTTATGGGATGCAGCCAAAGCATTTCTAAGAGGAATTATAGTAATAAAAGCCTACATTCAGGGGGAAAAAAAAGAACTCAGATAAACAACCTAACTTTACACCTCAGGGAAGTATAAAAAGAAGAACAAACTAAGCCCAAAATTAGTAGAAGGAAAATAAAGATCACAGTGAAAATAAATGAAATAGAGACTAAAAAGACCAAAAAAACAAAAATCAATGAAACTAAGAGCTAGTTTTTTGAGAATATATACAAAACAGACAAACCACTAGCTAGATCACCAAGAAAACAGAGGACTCAAGTAAAATCAGAAATGAAAAAGGAGATTACAACTGAAACCACAGAAATACAAAGGATAAGAGACTACTGTGAACTGTACTGTACAATAACAAATTGGACACCCTAGGAGAAATAAATGGATAAATTCCTAGAAACAAAGCATCTACCAGGACTGAATCACAGAAAATATGAACAGACCAGTTACTACTAATGAGACTGAATCAGCAATCAGAAAACTTCCAACAAAGAAAAGTCCAGGACCAGATGTCTTCACTTAATTCTACCAAACATTTAAAGAATAATTAACACCAATCCTTAAACTCTTCCAAAACATGGAAGAGGAGGAAACACTTCCAAACTCATTTTATGAGGCTAGCATTACCCTGATACCAAAACCAGACAAGGGCACTTACAAGAAAAGAAAAATACAGGCCAATATCCCTGATGATCACAAATGCAAAAATTCTCAACAAATATTACCAAATCGAATTCAACAATACATTAAAAGGATCATATACCATGATTAAGTGGGATTTATTCCAGGAATGCAAGGATGGTTAAACATCTGAAACTCAATCAATGTGATATAGCACAGCAACAAAAACAAAGGATAAAAATCACATAGTCATTTCAACAGATGTAGAAGAAGCACTTGACAAAATTCAATATCCATTAATGATAAAAACTTGACAAGGTTGGTATAGAGGGAACGAACCTCAACATAATAAAGACCATATATGAAAAGCCCACAGCTAACACTATACTCAATGATGAAAAGCTGAAAGCTTTTCCTCTAAGATCAGAAACAAGACAAAGTTGCCCACCCTCACCACCTTTATTCCAACATAGCACTGGAAGTCCTAGTCAGAGCAATTAGTCAAGAAAAAGAAATAAAAGGCATCCAAATGAGAAAGGAAGAAGTAAAACTGTCATTATTTGCAGGCGACATGATATTACCTATAAAAAACCCTAAAGACTACACCAAAAAACTGTTAGAACTAATCAACAAATTCAGTAAAGTTGCAGGCTATAAAATCAGTGTACAATAATTTATTGTTTCTATCAGAAAATCAAGAAAACAATTCCATTTAAAATTGCATGAAAAACAATAAAATACCGAAGAATAAATTTAACCAAGGAGGTGAAAAACCTGTACACTAAAAACTAGAAGACACTGATGAAAGAAACTGAAGACACAAAAAAAATGCAAAGATATTCTGTGCTCATGAATTGGAAGAAGTAATTTTTTTTAAATGTCCATACTATCCAAAGCACTATACAGATTCAATGCAACTTACATCAAAATTCCAAAGGCATTTTTCACAGAAATAGAACAAAAATTCCTAAAATTTGTATGGAACCAACCACAAAAGATCCTGAATAACCAAAGGAAACTTGAGAAAGAAGAACAAAGCTGGAGGCATCAAACTTCCTGATTTCAATCTATCAATATATTACAAATGCTCTAGTAATCAAACAGTATGGTATTGGCATAAAAAGACACATAGATTAATGGTACAGAACAGAGCCTAGAAATAAACCCATACCTATATAGTCAATTAATTTACAACAAAGGAATAGAGAATATACAGTGAGGGAAAGGATAGTCTCTTCAATAAATGGTGTTTATTGGGAACAGAAAATCTGAACAGTCATATGCAAAGGAATAAAACTGGACCTTTATCTTATACCACACACCAAAATTAATTCAAAATGGATTAAAGACTTAGATGTAACACCTTAAAACTACTAGAAGAAAATATAGGCGACAAGCTCCTTGATATTGGTCTTGTAAAGATTAAGCAAGATGAGAGAATCCTAGTTCTTAAACAAAGCATTAAAAATTAAATGTAGCCCTGATATATCTCCAGTATAGACAATTCCACCACAAATTGAAAATGTAACTTTAAATATCATTTTGCCTAGATCAGGGATTTCAAACTGCTCCCTGGAATGCATTTGACTGGGAGTAGGTGAGTGGGGTGTGTAGAACAGAGTAGTGTTCCCTGATCCTGTACCAAATGGAGCAGTTTGGGTCTCATCTTTTTCTATTACTAGTCTATTGAATAACATTTAAACAGAGTTCCACAGAAGTTTTTAGAAACTCTGAAAATCACAAATGTGTGCATAATTTCAGAATATATCAGGTATATTAAGTTTTCCTGGGCAGCTCAGTAAAATATTTCAGGCTTATGCAATATGTAAGAATATACAGAGTCATCTGGTAACATAGTCATCTAGTAACATAGGGGGTTCTTTGTTTTTAAATAGAGTATCAACAGAGTCAGCTCCGTTTTGTCTTTACCTACTTGTTATGTAGTCTAAATCATTTGGATACACTTATCACAGAAAATGGAACCACAGCAATGTATTCACACCTTAAAGAATCTCCTCAAAATCAATGCTGCCTGACTGAAAGAAAGGGCTAGAGGAAAGCAAATAAGTTCCACCTTTCTACTTAATGTGTTAAGGGCAAATATTTAGCTTCTGCATTCATGATAGAGATGGGAATAGAGCAGTGCCAACATTTATTCAGCACCTGTTATTTGGTAGGCACTTTGATAAAAAGGTATCACTCATGTCATTATAAATTCCAACAAGGCAGATATTATTAATTCCAAATCAAAAATGAAGAAGCTGAAGGGCAGAAAAGCTAATAAGTGCCTCAGCGACAGAATCAGGATGAGGATCTGTCTGCTTACCTAACATTTATTGAGTAGTTACCAAGTTCTATGTTTATGCTAAAACTTCATATGTGTTAATCTTCGCAGCAACCTTATGCAGTAGAAACTAATATTTTCTCTATTTTACAAATGATGAGACTGAAGTCACGCACCTAACAGGTGGTAAAATTGGTATTTGTACCCAGATTCACTTGTTATCAGAGTCTGTGCTGTTAGCCACTCAATTTTCCTTGTGAAATTTTGTACAGCTTCCAGCTCAATGGGATAAAACTTTATAACCATGTATCTTAAGTCAACTCCTAATTATCTTTCCTAAAAACAGGAGTACCTTGGATGATATTAAATGATACCCTCAAAAACTTTTGTGCTTGGTTTAATAATGTGCATCATATTCACATTTCAACACTATGAATGGGATAATATGGGGGCCCAAGAAAAATAACAATGCCACTCTGAATAATATTAAAGAAAAGAATAGTTAGCAATATAGCTAATTTCCTAGTTTGGTTCCCCTGCTTAAAAATCATTTCTTTTTTTTGTATTCTCAGTGAGAGAGCCCATCTCTTCTTATATTTAAATTTTTTTGTAATAAATTTATTTTATTTATTTATGGCTACATTGGGTCTTCACTGCTGCACACAGGCTTTCTCTAGTTGCAGTGAGCAGAGGCTACTCTTCATGGTGGTACACGGGCTTCTCGTTGCAGTGGCTTCTCTTGTTGTGGAGCACGGGCTCTAGGGGAATGGGCTTCAGTAGTTGTGGCATGCAGGCTCAGTAGTTGTGGCTCACAGGCTCTAGAGCACAGGCTCAGTAGTTGTGGCGCACGGGCTTAGTTGCTCCGCGGCACGTGGGATCTTCCCGGACCAGGGCTCGAACCCATGTCCCCTGCATTGGCAGGCAGATTCTTAACCACTGCGCCACCAGTGAAGCCCCCATCTCTTCTTATATTTAAATGAAGTACCAAGCTAAATTGAGCTGTTCCTCCCCTACCCACCTTTTTGTTTTTTCTTGATTAGTCATAAGAAATTACAAAATGTTTGGCCTTAAATATCTGCTAATCTAAAAGAGATTAAAAAATTCTGTTGATATAGGACTTTATGATCTATTCTCCTAAATTATGTTGACTAAGTCACCATAAGATGTGTTGTAGGTAACATATTGTAACCAACCCCCATAAAAATCTGAGTGAGCTCTAAGGGAACATAAGGTAAACAAATATAGATACTGGTAAATCTATGGTAGGGGATGTATTATTAACTTTAAGTGTTAAATGATATACAGCAATCACATAATATCATTAACTTTCTCCAAGCCGTCCAAAGTTAGACAATAAATGGATATTAAGGTAAAACAAGTATAATGAAATATGCTAGATGTCAAATTGTGGAATTAGGAAAGAACTGTGAAACAGATCCCATGTTATAATTGAAAATATGATACATATCAAATTAGAAAACTGAATCCAGAAAGAACTCATTGTCACAGTAAAGGTTATTTTGATAATTGCATTGGAACTTTAGTATTCAAATACAACAGCTCCTTGTTAAGAAATAAAGGCACATCACAAATACGCCTGATTTTTTTTAGGGGTGGTAGGATAATCTCTTAGATTTGAGATTTTAAAATGTAAAAATTTGATATTTTCTCCTCTGCCTCCTATTCATAATTTAAAATATAAGGATAACTTTACTGTCACATTTTCTTCTTTTTCAAGACAAACTTAGCCACAGAACAAAATAATACTTACACAGCACACCTACCTTACACCTAAAATAAGACTCGCTTCTCGCCTACTCATTTTTTGTTCAAATCCTCCTTTATAGTAGGATGAAAAACTCTATACAGGAAAGAAAAAGCAGGAAATAATTAGTTCCACACATGAGGTGGCATAACCTCAATCCCATCACGCAGCTGCAATAAGAGTAATGTATTTTCCAGACGTCAACTTGGAATTGTGGGAGGTGGGGAGGGAGAGCACTAAACAATAATCCTCTACAAGAAATTACGACTAAGATAAACACCACACTGAAGGAATAAAACAGGTCAGTAGAAGCAAAACGCCTGAACTTTATCTAAGCTCTATGGTCATTTTCTCATTGGATAACCTTGACCAAGTCACTTACTGTAGAGATGACAGACATCTTTTTAACCTACTAGACTGGCTGACTGAGAAAGAGGAGAAGCTGACAAGGTGAAGAGGACATCAGGATGTTAGACAGGGAGGTCAAGAGACCGGAAGACTAGACCGAAAGGTCAATGTGGCTGGAGAGGCCTGAGCAAGGAGGAGAGAAGGAGTAGAGAGATAACAGGCGCCACACTGTGGAGGGCCTTGGAAGCAATGGAAATGATTCAGGATTTTATTCTCAGTGGTAGGAGAACCAGAGCACTGGGGTAACAGATTTGACTCGGTTTTAAAAGAATTACCCTAACTGCTGTGTGGAGAATAGAAAGACAGGTACAGAGTGCAGGAAGGGGACCAGTGAAGATGACCTAACAGTAATCTAGGCAAGAGATGATTCTGGTATGGACCAATGTGGTAGTAGAGGAGGAGGTGAGAGCTGTCAGATTTTGGATGTACTTTGAAAGCAGAAATAACATTTGCTTGGATTGAATATGGGATATGAGAAAAAGCAGGGAACTAAAGATGATGCAGTAAGTGCTGCTATACACTGCACAGATCCCCCTTCAGAGCTGAGGCACTTACTCCTCAGACACTGGGGCTGCCGCTGGCAGACAGCACTCAGCTGTCAAACTCCAGCAACTGCCTTGCCTGAAGAATGTCAAGCCCACGCCCCCTTCGCAGGAGGGTCTCTAGCTGATGACTGGCTGACCTCAGGGTATAAACACTGTGCTTCTCCAGGGCGCAGTCCTTGGACTTCTTAGCTATATTTACCTCCCAGGTGATGTCACTTAGCTTCATGGCCTCTTGCCCCAAATCGGGATAATCACGATGAGTCACCTGAGCTTCAGAGCTCTCTGGGGGGCTGGCTGTCTCAGGCCTTTTACTAAGACTGCACTGCAGCCTAAATTATCCCTCCATTCTTCTTCCGTCTCTTGCTTTCTGGAGCTGTTGATCCTAAGAGTATTCTCTGATAAACTAACAGCGTGCTAAACTTTGTCTCACTCTGCAAATGACTGCAAGGTTTCTGACCTAAATTGCCATTAGTGACTTAGAGAAGGCGTGGTTATTTGTTACTTGTTTCTTGTGGGTAACACATATCAGGAGATTGGTTTTGGTTGCATTAAGTTTCAAAAATGTCTATGTAAGTGGAGGAAAAGTCTGACCTGGAGATAACATTTGGGAGTCATGAGTACACAGACCAGTATTTAAAAGTGTGAGACTAAATGAGGTCACCTAGAGTGGGAGTGTAGATAAGAAGTCCAAAGACTGAGCCCTAGAAACTGCAACATTTAATGGCACAGAGATGGAGAGGAATCAGTAAAGGAAACTGTGACGGCCTAGCGGTGCAGGAGGAGGAAAAGCAGATGCCAAAAGTGAGGAAGGGAAAAATAGTTTCAGGGCTTCCCTGGTGGCGCAGTGGTTGAGAGTCTGCCTGCCGATGCAGGGGACACGGGTTCGTGCCCTGGTCCGGGAAGATCCCAGGTGCTGCGGAGCGGCTGGGCCCGTGAGCCGTGGCCGCTGAGCCTGCATCCGGAGCCTGTGCCCCGAAACAGGAGGGGCCGCAACAGTGAGAGGCCCGCGTACCAAAAAAAAAAAAAAAGTTTCAAATGCTTCAGATAGGTCAAGTAAGACAAGAACTGAGGGCTGATGGCTGGATTTACCCTTTGGTAAATCTAAGTCTAGTGAAGGTACTGGAAGTGAAGGTTTGATTAGAGTGATTTTAAACAGGAGAGGGCTTCCTTGGTGGCGCAATGGTTAAGAATCCACCTGCTAATGCAGGGGACACGGGTTTGAGCCCTGGTGTGGGAAGATCCCACATGCCGTGGAACAACTAAGCCCGCCCACCACAACTACTGAAGCCCGTGCGCCTAGAGCCTGTGCTCCGCAACAAGAGAAGCCACTGCAATGAGAAGCCCGCGCACCACAACAAAGAGTAGCCCCTGCTCACCACAACTAGAGGAAGCCCACGCGCGGCAACCAAGACCCAACGCAGACAAAATTAAATTAAAAAAAAAAAAAAAAACAGTACAGAAGGAAAGGAATGGGAGACAGCAAGAGAGACAACTCTTCAGGAGCTCTTAAAGAAAACAGGATGAATGAACTCAACTTTTAGAAGTAAAAAAATTCACACATGATTGAATGCGTATATTGTCTCTAAAACGTGAACCCGTATTTTTCTAAGGAAAAACAAATAAGTGTATGCTTGCATAAAACAAAATATCAAAGTATACACCCCAAAATGTTATTCTGGGGTGGAGAAATTATGAATAATTATTTTCTTCATGTTTATTTTTACTTTCTAAATTTTCAACAATAAACACAGTTACAAATACAATTTTTTTTTTAAAAAATGGACTTTTTAAAGGAAACCAAGTAAATTATTAGAGCTTAAGAAATGAGTCCTAAGGAGCCAGATCTGATCATTTGTATAAGCTATTCTCTTTGAACAGCCTGTCATAAATTTCCATTGGTAATAATTCCCTGGCAATTAACTCATTCAACAAATACATTAGCACCTACTATGTGCCAGGAACTTTTCAAATGAGACAAGTAAAGTTCTGTCCTTTATCACATAGATGCTAATCTATCAATGTACCAGTACTGTGAGGAATATGATGTACTATTCCAAATTTCAAGTAATTAACAATCTAGTAAGAAAACAAAAAACAACCCCCTCCTCCAAATTGTGAGGGGAGGAAGGGAATCCAACTGTTTAAGTACACATACTAATGTGGACAAATTATGTATATATACACAAGCACACACACACACAGGGGAATATATAAAGGAATAAGAGATATACAGGGAAATATATATAAAGGAATAGAAAACTTAACAGAGGAAGAACAGCTCGTTTTAAGGTTTCTCTCAGGTGATCAAAATTTTTACTAGATGCATACCTTACTCCCTAATATTTCTATGAGTATCTACCTTTGTGAGCTCCAAATTTTCAAACTTTCAGCATAATAAACATAAATTGATGATGTTTCATGAACTGTCATTTCCACTATATTCACAAAGCTCATTAACCCTAAAAGTAGCCATTATATCTAAGCAAATTTTTTACTTTGTTTTTTCCAGGTAGAAAAGGAGATTAAGAAAAGGTTACTTAAAGTCTACCATCTGGATGAGGCTCATACCCTAACACTGATCTGTTTACAAATAAGCTTATAAGTAAATATACAATCATCATAATCCTTCTAAAGGAACTGTATCATTTTTGAGGATAGACATTTAATATTTGGGGGCTATATACAGAAAGGCAGACAGAGAAAACAACGAAAAAAAACTGCTTATGCTACTTCAGAAAAAATCATGCCTTCTAAACGCATATGGAATTTAGGTTTTACATTACATAATTTTAAAAAGAAATTGTAAGCCCTCTGAAGCTTACAAGTAATACACCAATACTGCATTATATTAGGATATACAGACATAGGCAATGCAGAACTATTTTCTGACAACACTGGTGGGTCAAGGAAATGTTTAAATTCAAAAAAAATGTGATTACAGGGCTTCCCTGGTGGCGCAGTGGTTGGGAGTCCGCCTGCCAATGCAGGGGACGCGGGTTCGTGCCCCGGTCTGGGAGGATCCCGCGTGCCGCGGAGCGGCTGGGCCCGTGAGCCGTGGCCGCTGAGCCTGCGCGTCCGGAGCCTGTGCTCCGCAGCGGGAGAGGCCACAACAGTGAGAGGCCCGCGCACCGAAAAAAAAAAAAAAAAAAAAAAATGTGATTACAATAAGGAACAAGTATATCACCAAACAGATGGAGTAGATGGTTATATTTTTCTAATAGAATTTCCAAGAACAGAAATAGTGGGATTTATTCTACTGTCTATTGGAAACACACCCTGAAACTTACAACTTATTATTTTGTATTATTTTATTTATAAAGTATATATATATAAACAAAAATCAAAATAATTTTCCTTCTAAAATTAACATTGAATGCTGTAGTGCTATATATTATTAAAGAAGATGTGAAATGAACCAAGTTAAAAGTATTCATTAGCTAATTTACTCAATCACTTGAAAAATAAAAGCCCTCCAAACAACCAGGAAAATATATCATTAAATATATCATTAAGAGAAGAAACACATTTACCATAAACTATAAACTTTAATTATGTATAATAATCTATTTGATTTATAGAGCCACAGAGGATGATTTTAATTAGTATTATTTCCATGAATTTCACTTAACCATAAAACAATGTAAGTCCAATTTTAAAAACTTGTATTCAAGTAAAAAGAAAAATTAACCAATAGAAAAATAAAAGCCTCAAAAGAAGATAAATGACTTGGGTTTTTTCCCCAAGAAAAAAATCAGGGGTAATTAGACAATAGCTGGGTCCATATATACATTAATACTTTAAAAAATCAAGTAAAAGGTACTGGTTCAAAACAGCAGACTGAATAATAAAAGTCTTTTGCTTTCCAAAGTGCCTTTGAAAGGAGAAAAGAGACATTTTAAACAGGAAAAATCCATAAGAGGCCTAGAAAACAAGAAATGGATCAAGTAGCAAACCAGAAAGTTTAAAGAAATCCTGGAAGATTGAAAACAGGTAAGACTGCACATATAGAAAAAAATCACAGCAGCCCCAATTCAGCAGCCCCTCTGACTAAATTCAGAGTCAACAAATACAAAAAAATAACATCAGGGTAATTAATTAAACCAGAACAGCAGAGAGAGATGATTCCTAACTCCATTAGCATAGGGCATAAGGGCCTGCCACCTACCACTTTAGCCCTCAGGCCAAGAAAGAGAATCATATGCCTGGGATGCACCCAACTGTGGGTGGTAGGTCCCAAGAGAAGCAAAGGCGAGTACCAACAGATCACACTGAACCCAGAGGACTGAAGAGGGGGACAGTTATGCCAAGCAGTAAAATACACATAGTACTCAACCACTCCTGGGTTCTGGAGGTCCCAAGACTGCCTCTGGGCTCCTTGATTTGGAAGAGACATGACTGTTGATATAAGCCACCTACGTGCTCACAGCACACTGCCAATCTTCTCATTCAATTAAATTGTTGAAGTAAATCTACCAAACTGCTAAGAGAGGCCACTTATATGAGTTCCAGGAGCAGAGACACATTGGAAGGAAAAAATAAAGAAAAAATATATGAGGATCTAACAGAACAAAAAATAGACAATTTTCACATAAGCCAAGGCTAAAAATTCCTGTGAAATTTCAGAACATCAATAATAAAGAGAAAATCCCCCAAATTTCCATCACTAAACAACAAACACACAAACAAAAATCACCCCAACCTAAAAACCAAAAGCCAAACAAAAGAATATCAAAATCAAAACAAGCAGTGTACAAAGGAAAAAGAACAGCAGAAAATCTGGCTAAGTCTGAGAGTACCAAAAAATGTGGCTGAGAGTATGCAGGAAAGTATAAAGGTGGGCACGGAGATTCCGTCTGAGCAGAGACTTCTGTCGTATCCCTCTAATACTGGCTCCACCAGATTCCAAGGAGCCAGCAGCTACATGACAACAGTGAGAGGGAAAGAACTCTCCATGCATTCCATTTGAACAAAATTATTCTAGGCAATATTGCAGAAGAATGGGGAAAAAAGCATGAGAAAAAAAAAGATGAGATTTAAGAAAAAGATGATGTTAAAGCATCAAAGAAGCAAATAAAGTTTATGAAAAAATGAAAAGAGAACCCACGGGAACTTGAGCCTTGAACATTCTCTTTTGAGTGACAGGGATTTATTGACACACGACTACAGTCCCTATTTGTTAGTAACTCTATTTGATTCAATAATGAACACAGTTACAAAAGCAAAACACTGTAAATGCTGTGCTTATGAATTTGGCTTTTTGGAATCAGTGCCAAGAGAAAGTATGTACATATTTCATTCCTCAATTTCCCTGGAACAATTAATATTTAAAGAAGTATTTTAAAAACTCCTATCTTCACTGAGGTATAATTATGATGATGATAAAGATATTCCAAGATGTTTCACTGCTAACTGCAAGAGTAGTACTTGTGGAAAAGGGGCCAGATTTATCAAAAGACACTTGTCTTAACTTGAAGCCCACAAAAGGGAGGCAAAGGGGGCACGTATCACTTTTCTCTCCTTAAGAAATGCAGGGGCCGGGACTTCCCTGATAGCGCAGTGGTTAAGAATCTGCCTGCCAATGCAGGGGACACAAATTCGAGCCCTGGTCCAGGAAGATCCTACATGCCGCGGAGCAACTAAGCCCATGAGCCACAACTACTGAGCCTGCGCTCTAGAGCCCGCAAGCCACAACTACTGAGCCTGCGTGCCACAACAACTGAAGCCTGCGTGCCACAACAACTGAAGCCCGCGTGCCTAGAGCCAGTGCTCCACAACAAGAGAAGCCACCACAATAAGAAGTCAACACACTGCAACGAAGAGTAGCCCCCGCTCGCCACAACTAGAGAAAGCCTTCGCACAGCAACGAAGACCTAATGCAGCCAATAAATAAATAAATAAATAAATAAATAGACACACCTTTGAAAAGAAAAAAGAAATGCAGGGGCTGCATTCAGAATACCCATAATAATCTCTTAAACTATTCTACCTTATCTGTGAGCCTACACAGAGCAGTGAAATGTTTCTCATTTTCTTTCTCTCTTTTCCTTTCAGTGTTAAATAACGTAGTTCTACAAAACACAGGTCTATTTATGGTATAAATATATCTACCGAAGATCAGCATAACAGGAGAGAAATGATTTTTGAAAGTCTCTCAATTTGCTATACATAAGCATATGGAAAGACATTTAAATAACTATGTCAAGCCACCATCACCTAAGTCCCTGGACTATCTCAGTACCCTCTCTTAACAGGTTTCACAGCTTCTCCTCTGACTCATTCTAGTCTATACTCTTTGCAGCAGGCAGAGTGATCACCTAAATTGGTAATCACGTTGCCCACATGCTCAAAACCTTCCAAAGGCTTTCCATCCCACTTAAACCAAAATTTGATGTCTTTGTCACAGTCTATTTGGCCCTAAGTGGTCTGGGCCCAAACTACCACTGTTCCTTCCACATACTCCACTGGAGTTACTCTTGCTGCTGAACTCATTTCCACCTCGGGACCTCTGCAGTGTTCCCACTAGAAAGCTCTTTCTTCAGATGTTCACATGGCCTGCTCCCTCATCTTCTCAGAGAGACCTTCCCAGACCTATCTAATATAGATTCCTCTCTGCTGTTAAAGAATCAATCTCTTACGCTGATTTAGTTCTCTAAAGAAAACTAAACTCCTACCTTCAACACCTCTACATATTATATATCTTATTTATTTGTTAATTGTTTCCACTAAAAAGTAAACTCCTAGAAGGCAGTGTCTTTGTCTGGTTCATGACTACCTCCCACTCCCCACAATAATGTCCAGTATTTAGTAAGTGCTTAATGAACATTTATTGAATGAATGCTAAATACCTATTAATACTTTAGCCAAATAAAATATAAACAGGAAAACAGAAAATAAACAGATGCTCCCTCTAATCACAGACATGCATTTATACGTCTGCAAAATCACTTGCAGTTCTTTTGACCCCGAGTTTAATTATCTGTCATAATATAGTATGTCATCCTTTGAAAGTGTGGTTACTGCTCGTGACTAACTAAGCCTCACAAGCCTATAATGCCTTTGCTAAAACAAGCCATTCATTCTCAAATTGCTGTAAGCCAAGCTGATCTATCCCAGATCTTCTGTTTCCCAGAAATCAATGTTTATGTTGTACTGCTTCAGTGAGTTTTCTTTGCATGGTCTCCAGTGGTCACAAACCACAGTTCACCCAGTTCACCACACTATAGCTTCTTAGATACCTACTATCATTCATGTTTTACTTATATTCAGCTCAGCAGAGTAGCTGTAATGCTGGTAGATGAATGTATAAGCCCTACAGGTTTCAAGGTTGGAATCATATAATTTTATGTTTGAGATAGCCAGATGTGGTGGTACGGGGGAACTAGCTGCAAATTTGAAGATGAAATAAACTTTTGGGTAAGCTCCATCAGGACAGGCACCATGTCTGTTTTGTTCACCAGCTATGCCTAGCCCCTGGCACAGGACAATCACTAAATGAATACTAATTAAACAAGGAAAATAAATTACCTCAAAGTTGATGTAATACTACTAAAAGGAATATGATAATTAAAAGTCAAAATCAGGAATAAGCTTAGATATAAAATAACATGACCAAGAAACTTAAAAGAAACTAAATCAATAAAGTTGCCAATGATACAAACATTTGTATGAAAATCCAAAACATTTTTCTGAATTACTATCAATAATGGCATATAAACAAAAATCAAAGCAAGGTTAGATTTATAACTAAAGCCATTTTTAACTTACAGGAGTTGAAATCTTCTTTGCAGTTTCTGTGATTACTTGTCCTAGAGGTTTCCAGATTTGAAATGTGTAGCGACCTAAATAGTAACAGGAATAAAAGCAAATATGTTTTCTATAATGAAAGCCAACACCCACAAAGTGCTCACCATAGTATTTATTGTTTACTTTATATATGTTATTTTAATACCTATCTCAAAATCTACCTGAAAGACAGTCACATTTTTTCAAATTTCTAATTTATTAAATGGAGGACAGATTTCATTTTAATATAATTTTCATAGCTATTAAATTAAGCTTTAGTTCATAATTATAAAATTAGAAAATTTCAATGGTTATGTATAAAATCCTACTTTTATACAATGTTACAGGTCATAAAAACAATAACATCCTAGTACTCAATTTCTCACTGAGGATGACTACTCTCCTGAAAGCTGCTTTTATTTTAGTGCTTTCCTTTCTTAGGCATCCTAATAATCAAAACTCCTCTGAGTCTGGACAACTAAGTATCAATAGCAAAACAGGTCCTAAATTGTTTTGAGGGCATAGAACAAGAATAAAATATTATCTGGCTAATTTACCTTTTGCACCCTAATCAGAATGTGTGTCTACTAATACTAGGGTCTCTTTTCCCAAAGCTCTGCTAGAAAACCAGTTATGACCCTCTGAACTTAATTCCATTTCTAACCATAACATTATTTGCAAATCAAGATTTCTACTGGGAAAGTTCAACCACATAGATGTTTTATAAGAAGTAACCTGTCTAAACATACTGTCACTCCTGTGCAAACAACGTGTTACAGGGAAAAACAAAGGACGCTACTAGACATAGGAAGATGTGAAGTAGCCAGTCTAAGTAGGAGATAAAAAGCTCTTGAGATCAAGTAGAACATTCAATAAAGTTAAATGAAGCTGAAACCCTAACTCATCTAAATCTCTTATATAAATATCAACTTCCATTTGATTCTACAACAGTATAAAATATGGCTTTTAAAGTGCCTCAAAATTCCTTCAAAACCACAATCATGCAATCTCAATGTAAAAAAGCAATTAAAGGCTTCAAGAAGTGACATCTGGACATTTACTTTAACTATAAAGGAGAATATCTAGTTCCAATAGTCTAGGGTACTTTCTCCTAAATTCTACTCTTCAGTCGTATTTGACCCTGAAAGAGAACTGCCTGCTATTAATATTCCAGTTAGTAAACTGAATTTGGCAACAGAGTAGTATGTACAGAATACATACACCAATTCTTCTCATTGTAGAAACAAGACCTTGGCAAAAGTATATCTTTCTCTAATTTCAAATAAAAATCTTACATTTGAATTTGAAATAACTATGCCTATTCTGCTACAGTAATTAATACAAAAATTGTTTTATGTTTATGGGCAAGTTTGTCAGAATTCCTTTTCAGACACGATACTCTTCTCATGAAACCTCAGTAAGTAGTTAACTATAGTTATATGAGACACAAGACTTTGACAGTACAAGAACCAAGAGAATCTGAACCACTGATCTTCCTGATTTTAAAGTTCTTACGGGTAAGGTGCTCATATTTTACTGGACGAAATTTAGTTACATGGCCAAACCTAGTTATAAGAGAAGCCAAGATATACCCTAAGAAAACCAGAATTCAAAAAGAGTCATGTACCAAAATGTTCATTGCAGCTCTATTTACAATAGCCCGGAGATGGAAACAACCTAAGTGCCCATCGTCGGATGAATGGATAAAGAAGATGTGGCACATATATACAATGGAATATTACTCAGCCATAAAAAGAAACGAAATTGAGCTATTTGTAATGAGGTGGATAGATCTAGAGTCTGTCATACAGAGTGAAGTAAGTCAGAAAGAGAAGGACAAATACCGTATGCTAACACATATATATGGAATTTAAGAAAAAAAAAATGTTATGAAGAACCTAGGGGTAAAACAGGAATAAAGACAGAGACCTACTGGAGAACAGACTTGAGGATATGGGGAGGGGGAAGGGTGAGGTGTGTTAGGGCGAGAGAGAGACATGGACATATATATACTAACAAACGTAAGGTAGATAGCCAGTGGGAAGCAGCCGCATGGCACAGGGAAACCGGCTCGGTTCTTTGTGGCTGTCTGGAGGGGTGGGATAGGGAGGGTGGGAGGGAGGGAGACAAAGAGGGAAGAGATATGGGAACATATGTATATGTATAACTGATTCACTCTGTTATAAAGCAGAAACTAACACACCACTGTAAAGCAATTATACCCCAATAAAGATGTTTAAAAAAAAAACACAGTTGTGTGGAATTAAATATTATACAAAACAAAACAAAATCTTTTATGTCTCTTTTTCTATTGGATCTCACTGCATATAACCACAATGGAATGTAGCTCCACCTAAAAAGAAGATCCAATTAACAAGATCAAATCCACGGAGACACAAATGCTAAGTGAAAAATGTAAATCTTTATCAACAAGGAAATGCTCTCAGATTAACATTTAATTAGAGAATAGCTATGCAATTTAAAACTATAAATTAATGGTGAGAAGAGACAGCAATTTTACTTTAAACCTTTATAACTATTCTTTCTAAAAAGATTTTGGCAGTAAAAGGAATTCTCCTGGGTTTGTCAAAGAAATTACACCAACATGTTAAAATGAATGATAAATACACTATAAAGAATGGCTACGCTCATCAGAAAGAACTGACAGCTCAGAAAATGTGTATTCTTAGCGGCAAGAAAAAAATATGGGAGAATAAAAGAGCCCCATTATCACTTAACACTGCTTCATATTAAAGAGATTTTATTTTTTAATAGTACACTAGAGCTCAAAACTAAAAAAATGTCAGGAAGATCAATTATTATTGGGGCTAGTTTTCCTAGCTTTTGTATCGTTAATTTCCTTCACTACAAAGTTTATCTAGATTTTGCTGTGCTGACAAATCTTTAGGGACTATAAATGTTGCAAAGAATGGGAATGTATGTCTTAAAATCAAAATCCTCAGAATACTAAGAGTCTTCTCATGAATCACTATAGAAGCTACTTGGAAATATTACTCCTGCAACATTTGTTGATACATATCCTTTATTTATCTTACCTGCAAATCCAAGAGCTGCAATACCCAGTCCCACAGCTATCAAACTTCTTGCCTATGGAGGAAAAAATGATTATCACTTACAGCGCTACATACTGGGGTTTTTAAAGTAAATCATTTAAAATAATGAGAATAATTATGATTAATAACACATTTTCCTCAAACTCTGTGGTGTAGAATTTTTTAAAATCTTCAGGATTACAGCTAATTTTCAGTGAATTAAAATAATTCTAGATTTCATTTAATTTCCATGTATTTGAATTTGTTATAACCAAGAGCTTTTATGTTACCTATTGCTAAAATGTTTTCTATAGACTATTCTTAATAGTGGGTTTAATGTATTTATCTTCTATAAAGCTAAAAGGTAAATATTTCCTCATTTACATATGCAATGCTCAATGGACTCTGCTATATTTAAAAAACTTGATAAAATGTATCCATGTTTAGAAAAGAAGTCAAACTGCGAAAAATTAGTAAAAGTGGTGAATAACTTAAGAGCTAGCTTATTTCTACCTTTCTAGACCAATGTAAAAATTTTACAGTAAGAGCCAAGAATTCAGAATTTAAAGTTATGAGCTCATCCTGATAAATTTTAAATTAGTTATATACTCCACATCAGTCTATGCTTTTCTCCTTAACCACCTTGGGAAAATATCTGTCACAACAGAAAAAGGTTTTATGTCGCAAGGATCAACGGTTGCCCCCCAAGATCCGCTTTCCCCTTCTTCTATAGGATCAAAATTCCTATTTTTAGCCAGACACATATTTCCAAGCCCCCCCTTCGACTTAGGTACAGCTATGTTTACTAAGTGTTGGCTTATAGGATATAAGCAGAGTGGAGAGAAGCCCTCCTCAGAGAAGTCCTTCATCGGAAGGTGGAATGTCTTTCTCCCTTTCCATTCCTCCTTCCTGCTGGCTGCAGCGTAGACATTATACCAGGAGCTGCCATGTCGGATAAGGGAGGAAGAACAATGAGATGAAAGGAGACCATGTCCTGGAGGATCATGTAGCTGCCACAGCACCCCTGGACTGCTTCTATTTACATGAGATAAAAATAAAATTGTCTTCCTAAGATACTACTACTATTTTCAGTTTTCAGGTACTTGCAGCCAAATCAAATTTTGATGGGATCAGAATTAAGGAGAGACACTACAGAAACGGTTTTTGTCTGATTAGTGGTGAAAGAGGCAAACCTATAAGATCCAAAAACTAAAAAAAAAAAGCTACAATAATCTCACTAGGGAATAGAATGGAGTCATTTCACAACAGTACAAAAGAAATCATAAGATGGAGGTTGAGACTAGATGGATAGTAAAACCGAAAAGCCCTATAGCCGTCAGTTTTCAAGTTCTGTAAGGGAATGCAAATCTTAGGAAATCAAAGCCCCAAGCCTTCAAGAGGAGACTCTATAAGGATAAACATCAAGACACAAAGGCCAACTGTATGAAGGTGCTCTAACTTTAACACCCAGTAACCCTGTCTTAGAAGTCTAGAGCTCTTCATAGACAAGATGAGGGAAGTTCATCTAGGTTTCCCCTCCTCAGTTCCAGTTCCTTTTTTTTAAAGAGTTAGACTTTTTTTAAAAAATAAATTTATTTACTTATTTTGCTTCACTGAGTCTTCGTTGCTGCACGCGGGCTTTCTCTAGTTGTGGTGAGTGGGATCTACTCTTCGCTGCAGCGTGCGGGCTTCTCACTGTGGTGGCTTCTCTTGTTGCGGAGCACAGGCTCTAGGCATGTGGGCTTCAGTAGTTGTGGCATGTGGGCTCAGTAGTTGTGGCTCACAGGTTCTAAACTGCATGCTCAGTAGTTGTGGTGCACAGGCTTAGTTGCTCTGCAGCAGGTGGGATCTTCCTGGACGAGGGCTGGAACCCCTTGTCCCTGCGTTGGCAGGTGGATTCTTAACCACTACGCCACCAGGGAAGTCCTCAGCTCCAGTTCTAAGATTCACCTTTTCACCAGGCAGAGCACTAGGGCAATCTCAGTAAAGGAAGATACTTTCCCTGGAAGAGAAGGACAAGCCTAGAGCTAGCTAGCAAGAGGCCAAACAGTCTTTGAGGTTCCCTTCAGGTTGTCTAGACGTAATTACTCCTGAACTGAAGGGAAATGAGTATTGATTTCAAGAAGATGTTCTGTTGAGGTATATTTTTGCCATTTTCTAGAGCTTCCCAGGGGCTACACATTTTGAGTTTTCCAGTCTTATTTTCCATTGGTTCACTTTAAGGATCCTCAGTCCAACCAAAGTACTCAACTGGGGCTTCCCTGGTGGCGCAGGGGTTAAGAATCCACCTGCCAATGCAGGGGACACGGGTTTGAGCCCTGGTCTGGGAAGATTCCACATGCCGCGGAGCAACAAAGCCCGTGCACCACAACTACTGAGCCTACGAGCCACAACTACTGAGCCAGGGCACCACAACTACTGAAGCCCATGTGCCTAGAGCCCATGCTCTGCATCAAGAGAAGCCACTGCAATGAGAAGCCTGCGCACCGCAACGAAGAGTAGCCCCCGCTCACAGCAACTAGACAAAGCCTGCACGCAGCAACAAAGACCCAACTCAGCCATAAATAAATAAATTTATTTTTTAAAAAGTACTCAACTGTTTTCATGTGTGAATTTATTTTCCTTCCTCATAAAACTTGTTTATTCTTTCATCTGACTAGAAATATTTATCTTTGCTATCAAGATCTGACGTATTCTTAATATTTCAGCTTGAACCAGCCACAGAATGGGAGAAGTCATTTGCAACACATAACGATGAGCACATGCCCAAAAATACAGAGAATTCCTCCACATTAAAAGGACAGATGGGGCTTCCCTGGTGGCACAGTGGTTGAGAGTCCGCCTGCCGATGCAGGGGACACGGGTTCGTGCCCCAGTCCGGGAAGATCCCACATGCCACAGAGCGGC